AATTCCTTTAATCACACAAATAACATGATAGCTTCCTGGTTTTTTGGTCCACGTGCAGAAAATAAAGAATTTGTTAAAGAGTTTTACAATAATGTTATCGATTTACAGGCAGAGGGAAGAAAGGCGTACTTTGACACTGCAGATCCAAATTTCATTACACCACAAATGCAGGATTCTGAAGAATTCAAAACTAATATAAATTATCTCAAAAGTCAACTTAACAAACTTTTAGAAAAACTCAATGAAAGGACTGTACCATTTTGGTCACCTCGTTATATGGGTCATATGGTTACAGAAACAACCATGCCAAGTAACCTTGGTTATGTGGCGGCCCTGCAATACAACCAGAACAATATTGCTACTGAAGGTGCTCCACTAACCACTTTGCTTGAGGCTGGTGTTGGGAATCAGTTGTGTGGAATGCTTGGATTTAACACTGATGATAATCTAAACATTAATTTGGATAATCTTGATAAAGAAAATGAAAATATTTATAATTTTGGCCTTCACGAAATTCAAAGTTGGGGCCATATAACGTGTGACGGCTCTGTAGCAAATTTAGAATCCATTTGGTAAGTTTCCTTCAAAATATGATTATTATGTTTATTGAATTTGCTAATACAATATTTTTTTAATCATCTATTTGTCTTATAGGGCTGGTAAGTTAGCTATATGCAAAATTAGTTTAAGAAAATCTAATTTTAGAATGCTGAACTGTTTAAATTTTATTTTTATCACTTTAATAGCACGTAACCTTAAATTCTATCCGCTATCCCTCCGTCTTGCTATTGAGGAAGGGCAGTTGTCATTCATTGGAAAGAGTTTTACTGTTGAGTTAGCCAATGGTTTGGAGAATAAACTTCTTGTGGATTGCACCACCTGGGAATTGCTTAACCTCAAACCAACCACTGTGTTAGATATCCCTGAACGACTTTACCAAAAGTATGGAATTTCTCCTCAGTTTTTGCAGGCTTCCCTCAAGGATTATACCATTCAGTCTATAGGAAAGGATGATCTAGAGAAAAAGTTTGGTATCACAAAACCATCGTTATATTTTGCAAGTAATACACATCATTATTCATGGCCTAAGGGTTGTGGTAAGTTTTTTTTAGTGTTTTAATATTTCTTTTAACATTTCATTTATTAATATTTCTTCTATCATTACTAATATTTCTCTCACTTCAAATAAATTAAAGCCATTGTCGGAATTGGATCCGTAAATTTGAAAACTATTCCAGTAGACGATGCGGCACGAATGGATATTAATGAACTTGATAAAGTTCTCGCAAAATGCGTTAAAAATAAACAAGCTGTTTATGCAGTAGTAGCGATTATGGGATCAACCGAACAAGGTGCTTGTGATCCCTTGGCCGATATAATAGCGCTTCGAGATCGATATAAACGTAGATACGGATTTAGCTTTGTTATTCATGCAGATGCTGCATGGGGTGGATACTTTCGTACGATGCTTGTTGAACCGCCTAAAAATTCTTTACACAATGATTGTATAAAAGATAATAATGAAGTTCATGATACCTTTGTTCCTACATTAGCGTTAAATCCTTATACAAGAAGGCATTTATACAGTCTAAAAGATTGCGACTCTATCACTATTGATCCGCACAAAAGTGGATATATTCCATATCCTGCTGGTGGTCTATGTTATCGAGACCAACGCATGAGATATCTGGTCACATGGACAAGTCCAGTTGTAACTCGTCCTAAGGAAGAAAGCATGGGAATTTATGGTGTGGAAGGAAGGTTAGTCTTAAGCTGAGGCAATAAATATAATAGAATACAATATTTTCATATGTTCAAGTGATAACTTCTTATTTTCTAGTAAACCTGGTGCAGCTCCGGTAGCTGCTTGGCTTTCTCACGATGTAATTGGCCTTCATCAAAAAGGTTATGGTGCATTATTAGGACAGGCGACTTTTACTTGTAGTAAAGTATGTTATTACATGTAGAGTAAATATGGTGCGAACCATCTAAAGACATCAAAAAATGTGACTAATGATATGATGTCATAATATACGCCACAGATTCATTCACATTGACCTAGTTTCAAATGTTTTTCTAAAAATTCGCCACTAATCAATGAATATTTGAAATTTCGTAAAAACAATAGAGCTATGTATTGTTTTTGTGAAATTTGGAATATTCATTGTATAGTAGCAATTTTGGATATCTTTAAGTGGTTTGAACCATATAAATTTATTAAATAATATTATTATATAACCAAATACTTTATTCTTCAATACAGATGTACTGTCATTGGGCGACTATGTCAACTGATGATGATGACTTCATTGTTGTTCCGTTCAACATGCTGCCTGCTGAAAAGCTCAATTCACCAAATCAAAAAGAAGTCGAAAAACAAAAAGATAAAATCAGAGAACTAATTGTCAACAAATCAAATTTGGAGATCATAAAGAATGAAGAAGCATTAAATTTAATTAGAAATGTTGGTTCTGATCTTATAATAAATACTTTTGCGTGCAACTTTAAAGTGAATGGCAAAATGAACGAAGATATAAACGAAGCAAATTATCTTAATCAGCGTTTATTCGAAAAATTCTCACTTACCTCTTACAGACAAGATAACAAATCAAAACCGTTGATTATTACTTCCACAGCGCTCAAACAGAGTGCTTATGGTCATTGTCTTACGAGTTTTAAGAACCGACTTGGTTTGAAAGGTGACCAAGACCTTTATGTGTTAATTAATGTTGTTATGTCACCTTGGCCTACAGAATTCGATTTTATCTATACACTTACAAATACTTTTAAAGAATCCTTAAAAGAACTTGCTGAGGTAAAATTTAATCTTTAAACGACTTTTTTTA